TAATGCAACTAACACAGAAGCAGTAACGGGTACAATCGACTCACCGCGAAGACCTCGTCATCGGATAAGATGGTCGGGATGTGGATCTTCCCGTCCACCTTTGGCAGCTTCTCCACATCGATTTGTGGATTATCAAAGTCAACAGCTTCCACTCCATCGATGGTTCTCGATTGAAGCATGCGAATCTGCGCGTGCAGCACGGCTACCTCCCCACGAAGCGCATCCCGTTCCTGCTCAATCTGAGCCGTTGCCGCATGGTTCTCCTGCAGTATCGCCATCGTGTTGCGCATATCATCCATCTCGGTGACAAGATTACGGTTCATCGTGGCATGATGAACATCGGGTACTGCCATCACGTACACACAACAGAGGTGCACTGGTTAGCACACACGGCAGGAAACACAAAAATAAACATCACCGTGGGTGCAATTAGGCAACAGTGACAAGCATGGGATAGTACGTTTAGTACACACTTCAGGAGACAGAAAAACAAGCATGACCGTGGGGTTTGGGAACAACTGTGAGTAAGTTGATCGAAACTTTACGTGCTGATCGAAGTCTCTTAGTCGGCAGCACATTCGCAGCAGCGACTTGAGCGTTGCCTTCGGCGGCTCCAGCGACGGCTTGAGCGTTGCCAGCGGCGGCTCCAGTGAAGAACTGCACGGCGCCTCCAGCGAAGGCTTGAGCGTTGCCAACCGCGGCACCAGTGTCAAACTGCACGTTGGCGTGGGCGCCTCCAGCTTCTGCTTGCATGTCGCCAACGGCGGCACCGGAGTATGCTTGCATAATACCAACACCGGCAGCAGCGTCTGCTTGCTCGTAGCCAGTCGTGGCTTCAGCGTCACCACCCACCAGCACCGGCTCGAACGGTAGTTGCTGATAGCCTCCTGCCTCTTCATTATCATCATCCGTTCCCTCCTCTTCCGAGTCGCTATCCTCGTCGGAATCCTCGTCGCCTCCTACGGTCTGCCGGACCGGACCTCCATGCAGTGCTTCAGAATCAGCGGGGAAGGTAACGAGTTGACCATGGAGACCCTCGATGGTAACGGTAGCAGGAGCAGCTGCAGTCGGCAACATTTCCCTCGGTTCCTGTTGCGTGCCATGCGGAAGGTTGCTAGGCTCTGGCTCGGCTGGTCGCCCCAACTTACCAAGCGGCCTCCTCTTAACTGCCTTTCTCGCTGCTTTACGCTGCAACAAGTTCTTCAGCAAGGCCTTCTCGGTAAGGCCTGGAGGAAGGGTGATTGCTGTTTCACGCGAAGGCAAGAATGGCGAGGAGAGGGTGACCCCTACGGGGCCTCCAGGTGCTGGTACCCTTTTAGTCATAAGATCGCCTGCCCGAATCACGACAGCACTTCTGAGCTGCGCCGGAAAGATGCACGTGTTTGGGGTGTTTCTGGCCGTAACACCCCTTTAACCATGGTGGGAAATGCCTTGGTGAGTGTAATGAACGCGGTCAGAGATTTTAACAGGCTGACCGCGCGCCGCTTCGTAAAAGTTTTTTTGGCTGGTGCTGAGGCAGAGACTGGTCGGTAGCTGCACGTCCGTTTAGTGTCGGTAGTTTTGAAAGTGCGGTGGTGTTGCGTTGTCGCCAACGCATCCCCACTACACATTCGGCGACATTCGGATTGGTCGGAATTGCAGCAAGCGAGGACGTTCCTGACAGCACAGAAGAATCTGAACCTAGACAGCACAACATCAAAAACCTTCCTGATTGGTCGGCGTGGCAACATCGCGTGATTCTCCTCATTCGTGGCGCGGCGTCGGGCGTCAGTGCATTCGGATTCCACCGCACAACTGTGCGAAGCGAACCTGGACTTGATTTTAAAGCAGGTGGTTACGCGCGATCAGTCTTTAACAGATTCTAAGCTATATAATATAAAAAATATAGATGCAACTTATAGATAACATATTAAAAATACTTGCTGTTTCCAATTATATTGACCTTGCAAAGCTTAAGGCCTGGATCGGGGACGACGAACATGAAATCGACGAAGTGTACAAGCGTAAGGCGAGTTATGTCAAGCAGAGGATGCTATTCCAGAAGTTGGGCTGGAGCTCGTACTCGTTGACGGTAAATGGTCCGTGCTTGTTTAGACGAAGCCTTACTTCTAGTGTAGTCCGCATGTAGGCGTGCCGACGATGTCGAGGATGACGTCCCCGCACTTGCTTCGTTGTGCGTTTGATGGCCTGAAACAGTGCAACGCTACGATAGTACGCAACTTGTCACCGTTTCATTTTCTGGTTGTATGTTTAGGAACATTTATTTACACATACAGGTAGTTCAATTCTTTCACCTGGTTTAGGAACTGGTTTGAGTTCATTCGCACAAATACGCTGCTCGTTGCGCTTGTTTGTGCATCCGATGGCCTGAAACTGTGCAAGGATAGGGCAGTACGTAACATGTCACCATTTCATCGTCTGGTTGTATTTTATTGGACCATGTCTTCACACAATCAGGTACTTCATGCATGTCCCCTGCTATGGGAACTGGTTTGAGTTCATTCGCACAACTACGCAGCTCGTTGCGCTTGTTTGTGCATCCGATGGCCTGGAACTGTGCAAGGATAGGACAGTACGTAACATGTCACCATTTCATCGTCTGGTTGTATTTTATTGGACCATGTCTTCACACAATCAGGTACTTCATGCATGTCCCCTGCTATGGGAACTGGTTTGAGTTCATTCGCACAACTACGCAGCTCGTTGCGCTTGTTTGTGCATCCGATGGCCTGGAACTGTGCAAGGATAGGACAGTACGTAACATGTCACCCTTTCATCGTCTGGTTGTATTTTATTGGACCATTTCTTCACACAATCAGGTACTTCATGCATTTACCCAGCTATAGGAACTGGTTTGAGTTCATTCGCACAACTACGCAGCTCGTTGCGCTTGTTTGTGCATCCGATGGCCTGAAACTGTGCAAGGATAGGACAGTACGTAACATGTCACCGTTTCATCGTCTGGTTGATTTTTATTGGACCATTTCTTCACACAATCAGGTACTTCATGCATTTACCCTGCTATAGGAACTGGTTTGAGTTCATTCGCACAACTCCGCAACTCGTTGCGCTTGTTTGTGCATCCGATGGCGGGAAACTGTGCAAGGATAGGTCAGTACGTAACATGTCACCGTTTCATCGTATGGTTGATTTTTATTGGACCATTTCTTCACACAATCAGGTACTTCATGCATTTACCCTGCTACAGGAACTGGTTTGAGTTCATTCGCACAACTCCGCAGCTCGTTGCGCTTGTTTGTGCATCCGATGGCGGGAAACTGTGCAAGGATAGGCTAGTACGTAACATGTCACCCTTTCATCGTCTGGTTGATTTTTATTGGGTTTATTCTTCACACAATCAGGTACTTCATGCATTTACCCTGCTATAGGAACTGGTTTGAGTTCATTCGCACAACTACGCAGCTCGTTGCGCTTGTTTGTGCATCCGATGGCCTGAAACTGTGCAAGGATAGGTCAGTACGGAACATGTCACCGTTTCATCGTCTGGTTGATTTTTATTGGACCATTTCTTCACACAATCAGGTACTTCATGCATTTACCCTGCTATAGGAACTGGTTTGAGTTCATTCGCACAACTCCGCAACTCGTTGCGCTTGTTTGTGCATCCGATGGCGGGAAACTGTGCAAGGATAGGTCAGTACGTAACATGTCACCGTTTCATCGTATGGTTGATTTTTATTGGACCATTTCTTCACACAATCAGGTACTTCATGCATTTACCCTGCTACAGGAACTGGTTTGAGTTCATTCGCACAACTCCGCAGCTCGTTGCGCTTGTTTGTGCATCCGATGGCGGGAAACTGTGCAAGGATAGGCTAGTACGTAACATGTCACCCTTTCATCGTCTGGTTGATTTTTATTGGGTTTATTCTTCACACAATCAGGTACTTCATGCATTTACCCTGCTATAGGAACTGGTTTGAGTTCATTCGCACAACTACGCAGCTCGTTGCGCTTGTTTGTGCATCCGATGGCCTGAAACTGTGCAAGGATAGGTCAGTACGGAACATGTCACCGTTTCATCGTCTGGTTGATTTTTATTGGACCATTTCTTCACACAATCAGGTACTTCATGCATTTACCCTGCTATAGGAACTGGTTTGAGTTCATTCGCACAACTCCGCAACTCGTTGCGCTTGTTTGTGCATCCGATGGCGGGAAACTGTGCAAGGATAGGTCAGTACGTAACATGTCACCGCTTCATCGTATGGTTGATTTTTATTGGACCATTTCTTCACACAATCAGGTACTTCATGCATTTACCCTGCTACAGGAACTGGTTTGAGTTCATTCGCACAACTCCGCAGCTCGTTGCGCTTGTTTGTGCATCCGATGGCGGGAAACTGTGCAAGGATAGGCTAGTACGTAACATGTCACCCTTTCATCGTCTGGTTGATTTTTATTGGGTTTATTCTTCACACAATCAGGTACTTCATGCATTCACCCTGCTATAGGAACTGGTTTGAGTTCATTCGCACAACTACGCAGCTCGTTGCGCTTGTTTGTGCATCCGATGGCCTGAAACTGTGCAAGGATAGGACAGTACGTAACATGTCACCGTTTCATCATCTGGTTGAATTTTATTGGACCATTTCTTCACACGATCAGGTACTTCATGCATTTACCCTGCTATAGGAACTGGTTTGAGTTCATTCGCACAACTCTGCAACTCGTTGCGCTTGTTTGTGCATCCGATGGCGGGAAACTGTGCAAGGATAGGCTAGTACGTAACATGTCACCCTTTCATCGTCTGGTTGTATTTTATTGGACCATTTCTCCACCTCTGTCCCTTCCTTACCTACTCCGTACCCGCCTATCCTTCACTGTCCTGTCCTCTCCTCCACTGCCCCCTCTTACCCGTTTCTATCTTCTTGTTTCCTGTTATGGCGCCTTATCGCGCCCATCATGCAGTGCTGCAAATGGTTAAATGTCCAATATGCAAAAGGGATGTCAAGACGAAGCAAGCACTGCTGGGTCACATGACCAACCCGGTTTGCGAGGCAACAGCCGCAGCTCAGAGAGCCATACAACAGTCACCCGAAGCGCGTGGGTCGAAGCGTGGTCGACCCTCATCCGTTCCACCGTTGTCTTTGAGTGGTAGTGATGTTGGTGATGGTCCACGCATGCCTAGTCCTGGACATGCAGGCCCGTCCACTGGTATAGGATCTATGGACAATCAAGATGAACCTGTCAGGGATGATGGGGGAAGCATGGTCCCACCTGGGTTTGATGCCAATGATGCTAGTGATAGTAGCAGTCAAAGTAGTGAAAATGCTAGCTTACCTTGTGATGACGATACCTTTGGGAGTGCGGCAGGTGCAGGAATACAGGACGTTGAAGCCGACAGGTCGACTCAAGCCCCGCCGAGGAACACTCTGGATGCTTGGGCGCATTGGGTGCTTACCAGCCGCTTGTCCAATAGCCAGATCAACGCCCTTTTTGATCTTATGCATGACGAGGAGCTAGACATAAGAGACGTGCTCCGATGGAAAAATGTGAAGGATGTGCACGCCTATGCGGAGTCCAAACGACCAGACTCCCACAGACGGTGGCAGCGGCGGTTGGTTCGGTCCCAAGACAAAGCGTGGCTGGAGTATTGGGCGTGTGATGGATTAATAGCTCTCCAAGATCTGCTTGCCCACCCCCTCTTAGCCGCTCGCATGTGCATGGTTAGTAAGCCACTATATGATGGCGAGAAGCGTGTGTACACAACGCCAGAGACGGGCAAGTGGTGGGAAGAATTGCAGGCGGAGGTTCGTAAGGTGGATCCGTTGGGCGTGGTGGCTGCTTTGATTCTCGCCAGCGATGAGACGCACATGGACCATCGTGGGAAAGCAAAGGGCCACCCACTGTACCTAACCCTTGCAAACATCGATAAGGACGACCGATGGAAGCCGTATGGACACGTCCTCCTAGCACTGCTGCCCGAGTTCCCGCCTGAGTACTCGTCTCTTGATAGAACACATGTGTTCCACTACGTCATGAACGAGGTGATTGCCGGCCTCAAGAGAGCTTCGCACACCGGGATCAAGATGAAAAACTCCAAGGGCGAGACAATCAATGTGTGGCCGTCCGTCTACGCTCATGTCACGGACTATCCCGAGTCCTGCAAGGTTTCTTGCACAAAATCATTGGGCACGAAATATCCGTGCTCGTTGTGCAAGGTCGACAAAGACGAGCTAAAGCGGTTTGAGTTCCGGATTAACCCTAGAACACCTTCCGAGCAAAACCAGGTTGTGGAAGGGATTAAAAGTGGCTGTATAGACCCTGAATCCGACGCGGCGCTCTCCACTCACCCTGTGAAGGTATGGTTTTGTGTTTCTGGATCTGCCATTTTAGTCCCAAGTCGCCATTCATCATTCTCTCACCCCTTCTCTCAATCACTGACCCCTCCTCTCATTCTCTCACCCCTCCTCTCATTCTCTGACCCCTCCTCTCATTCCCTGAACCGCCTCTGATTCTCTCACCCCTCCTCTCATTCTCTGAACCGCCTCTGATTCTCTCACCCCTCCTCTCATTCTCTCACCCCTCCTCTCATTCCCTGAACCGCCTCTCATTCTCTCACCCCTTCTCTCAATCACTGACCCCTCCTCTCATTCTCTGACCCATCCTCTGGTTCTCTCACCCCTCCTCTCATTCTCTGATCCGCCTCTGATTCTCTCACCCCTCCTCTCATTCCCTGAACCGCCTCTCATTCTCTCACCCCTCTCATTCTCTCACCCCTCCTCTCATTCTCTCACCCCTCCTCTCATTCCCTGAACCGCCTCTCATTCTCTCACCCCTTCTCTCAATCACTGACCCCTCCTCTCATTCTCTGACCCATCCTCTGATTCTCTCACCCCTCCTCTCATTCCCTGAACCGCCTCTGATTCTCTCACCCCTCCTCTCATTCTCTGAACCGCCTCTGATTCTCTCACCCCTCCTCTCATTCTCTCACCCCTCCTCTCATTCACTGAACCGCCTCTCATTCTCTCACCCCTTCTCTCAATCACTGACCCCTCCTCTCATTCTCTGACCCATCCTCTGATTCTCTCACCCCTCCTCTCATTCTCTGATCCGCCTCTGATTCTCTCACCCCTCCTCTCATTCCCTGAACCGCCTCTGATTCTCTCACCCCGCCTCTGATTCTCTCACCCCTCCTCTCATTCTCTCACCCCTCCTCTCATTCTCTCACCCCTCCTCTCATTCCCTGAACTGCCTCTCATTCTCTCACCCCTTCTCTCAATCACTGACCCCTCCTCTCATTCTCTGACCCATCCTCTCATTCTCTCACCCCTCCTCTCATTCTCTTATCCGCCTCAGATTCTCTCACCCCTCCTCTCATTCCCTGAACCGCCTCTGATTCTCTCACCCCTCCTCTCATTATCTCACCCCTCCTCTCATTCTCTCACCCCTCCTCTCATTCCCTGAACCGTCTCTCATTCTCTCACCCCTTCTCTCAATCACTGACCCCTCCTCTCATTCTCTGACCCATCCTCTGATTCTCTCACCCCTCCTCTCACTCTCTTATCCGCCTCAGATTCTCTCACCCCTCCTCTCATTCCCTGAACCGCCTCTGATTCTCTCACCCCTCCTCTCATTCTCTCACCCCTCCTCTCATTCCCTGAACCGTCTCTCATTCTCTCACCCCTTCTCTCAATCACTGACCCCTCCTCTCATTCTCTGACCCATCCTCTGATTCTCTCACCCCTCCTCTCATTCTCTTATCCGCCTCTGATTCTCTCACCCCTCCTCTCATTCCGTGAACCGCCTCTGATTCTCTCACCCCTCCTCTCATTCTCTCACCCCTCCTCTCATTCCCTGAACCGTCTCTCATTCTCTCACCCCTTCTCTCGTTCTCTGACCCCCCATCCATTCTCTGACCCCTCCTCTCATTCTCTGACCCATCCTCTCATTCCCTTAACCTCCTCTCATTATCTCACCCCTCTTCCCTTTTACTGACGCCATCCATCATTCCTCTACTGACCTAATGTTTGCATTACTTGTGTGCAACCCTGCCCATGCAGAGTTACCTATGGGGATGGCGTTGGGAGCACATAAGCGTGCTCAACCCGTGCCTCGCCGTGCTACCCGATATAATGCACCAAGCGGACTTGGGCATCCTCGAACACATCATAGCCGCCATTCGTCACTATGTGCTAAAAAAGAAGAAGAAACCTAAGTTGTTGAAGGAGTGTGATAAGCGGCTGAAGTATGTGAAGAACACGCTAAGGGGTGGGAACATGCGACTACCCTCGGGCGAATACTTCGTCAAGGGGGCGAACTACCAAGCTTATGAGCATCGCTCTGTTATGCAAGTCCTGCCATTATTGGTGCGAGGGATTTTGCCGCAAAATCAGATCGACGCCATTATCGCCTACATCGAGTGGTACCTCGAGTGTGCAAGGACGAGCGAGCACACGGAGGACACCCTGCTAGACCTCAAGAACGCTGCCAACAGGTATGATGCAGTTTCTCGCAGCTCATTCTCGTCATGCACTGCCACACTTCTCTACCTCCCGCTCTTATCCTGCCATGTTATGCCCCATCATTTACTGCCCTGTCCCAACCTCACGTGCACTGTCCCATCCCCTCCTGCTCGGTCCACTCCTCTCCTGCTATGCCCCCCTAGCTCCATCTATGACCCCTTATGTGATTCCTCTCATTCTGACCCCTCCTCTCATTCACTGACCCCTCCTCTCATTCACTGACCCCTCCTCTCATTCCGTTTCCCGCCTTTCATCCTCTCACCCATTCTCTCATTCTCTGACCCCTCCTCTCATCCTCTGACCCCTCCTCTCTCGTTCCGTTCGTGCCGCCTCTCATTCTCTCACCCCTCCTCTCTTTTACTGACCCCTCCTCTCATTCACTGACCCCTCCTCTCATTCACTGACCCCTCCTCTCATTCCGTTTCCTGCCTCTCATCCTCTCACCCATTCTCTCATTCTCTGACCCCTCCTCTCATCCTATGACCCCTCCTCTCGTTCCGGTCGTGCCGCCTCTCATTCTCTCACCCCTCCTCTCTTTTACTGACCCCTCCTCTCATTCACTGACCCCTCCTCTCATTCACTGACCCCTCCTCTCATTCCGTTTCCCGCCTCTCATCCTCTCACCCCTCCTCTCATTCTCTGACCCGTCCTCTCATTCCCATAACCGCCTCTCATTCTCTCACCCCTCCTCTCTTTTTCTGACCCCTCCTCTCATTCACTAACCCCTCCTCTCTTTCACTGACCCCTCCTCTCACTCTATGACCCCTACTATCATTCACGGACCCCTTCTCTCATTCTCTGACCCCTCCTCTCATCCTCTGACCCCTCCTCTCATCCCCATCATGCTCTGCCCTCTTTCTCACCAACCCTAAACCCATCATCTCATGCTCTGCCCCCTCATGCTCTGTCCTATCCTCCGTTGCTCTGTCATCTCCTCCCCTGCTCTGCCTCATCCTCCCCTTCTTTACACCATCGTCTCATGCTCTGTCCACTCCTATCCTTCGCAGCTCAATCCTCTCCTTCATTCTCTAACCCGTCCTCCTAGCCTACGTTGCCCCCTCCACTCGTTTTCTTATAACAAACCCATTTACCCTGCCCCTCCCCGTCCTTCTCTGCCCTATGCTGACTATTTTTCTGCCCAGAATGCTTCACGGGCTGCGAGAAGCGTTCGAACAACCCTCGGAATGGAACTTCATAAAAATGCACCTCGTTAGTCACTACGTTGACTGCATTCGGCGCGCCGGCCTGCCAGAGCATTACTGCGATTCTCGTGTTATGAGTGGTTGGCGCTGTTGGTTCCCAAAGTTCTAAGAATTCCTTACAATGTGCAAGCTGTATCCCGATGTACCACACCACGCCACATGCAGCGTAGTTGTGCGAACTAGTTCAAAACTGTTCCTATGGCAAGGTAATTGATTGAAATACCTTGTTGTGTGAAAAACTAAACCCTTAAATAGGCAACTAGTGGATGAATCGGTGACGTGTTGCGTAGTAGCCTATCCGTCCACAGTTTCGGGCCATAGAACGCACAAACAAGCGTCACGTCCCGCGTAGTTGTGCGATTTAGCTCAAAACAGTTCCTAAGGCAAGATAATAGAGTGAACTATGTGACTGTTTGATGAAATGGTGCTAAACAAACAACCAGACATTGACACGGTGTCATGTTGCGTACTAGCGTAACCTTGTGCAGTTTCCTGCCATCGAACGCCTAAACAAGCGTCACGTGCGGCGAAATTGTGCGAATGAGTTGTGACAAGATCCTTTGGCAAGAAAATCGATTGTAAAACTTAAATGTGTCAAGAATTGGTCCTAAAAATAACAACCAGTCAAGAATTGCACAGTTTCAGGCCATCAAACCCCTAAACAAGCGTCACGTGCTGCGTAGTTGTGCGATTTAGCTCAAAACAGTTCCTATGGCAAGGTAATTGATTGAACTACCTGAATGTGTAAAGTAATGGTGCTAAAATAACAACCAGACAATGAAAATGTGACCTGTTGCGTTCTAGCGTAACCTTGCGCAGTTTCGGGCCATTGAACGCACAAACAGGCGACACGTGCTGCGTAGTTGTGCGAATGAGTTCAAACAAGCTCCTATGTCAAAGTAGTTGATAGAAATACCTGAATGTGTAATGAAATGGCGATGAATAATTCAATCAGACGATGAAACGGGGACATGTTGCGTACAGGCCTATCCTTGCACAGTTTCAGGCCATCAAACACACAAACAAGCGTCTTGTGCTGCGTAATTGTGCGAATTAGCTCTACCCAGTTCCTATGGCAAGGTAATTGATTGGAAACCCTGAATGTGTAAAGAGATGGTCCAAAAAATAACAATTAGATGATGAAACGGTGACTTGTTGCGCACTGCCCTATCCTTGCATAGTTTCATGCCATCTGATGAACAAACAAGCGACACGTGCTGCGGAGTTGTGTGAACGAGGTCAAACCAGTTCATATGGCTAGGGAATAGGATGTAATAGGGAACAGTGTGAAGAAATAGTGCTAAAAAATGCATCCTGACGTTCGCGTGCTGACATGTTGCGCACAGGCCTATCCTTGCACAGATTCAGGCCAGCAAACGCACAAACAAACGTCACGTGTTGCGTAGTTGTGCGAATTATCTCAAACCAGTTCCTATGGCAAGGTAATTGATTGAAATACCTGAATGTGTGAAGAAATGGTGCTAAAAAAGACAGCGAGATGATGAAACGGTGACATGTTGCGTACTGGCCTACCCTAAATCCAGTTTCAGGCCATCGAACGCACAAACAAGCGTCACGTGCTGCATAGTTGTGCGAATTAACTCAAACCAGTTCCTATGGCAAGGTAATTGATTGAACTACCTGAATGTGTGAAGAAATGGTGCTAAAAATTACAACCAGACGATGAAACGATGACATGTTGCGTATTGGCCTATCCTTGCACAGTTTCAGGCCATCAAATGCACAAAGAAGCGTCACGTGCTGCGTAGTTGTACGAATTAACTCAAACCAGTTCCTATGGCAAGGTAATAGAGTGAAATAACCGAATGTGTGAAGAAATGGTGCTAAAAAGGACAACCATATGATGAAACTGTGACATGTTGCGTACTGGCCTATCCTTGCACAGTTTCAGGTCATCAAACGCACAAACAAGCGTCACGTGCTGCGTAGTTGTGAGAATTAACTCAAACTTGTTCCTATGGCAAGGTAATGGAATGAAATAACAGAATGTGTGAAGAAATGGTGCTAAAAAAGACAATCAGATGATGAAACTGTTACATGTTGCGTACTGGCCTATCCTTGCACAGTTTCAGGCCAGCAAACGCACGAACATGCGCCACGTGCTGCGTAGTTGTGCGAACGAGCCCCAATCAGTTCCTATGGCAAGGGATTAGGATGTAGTAGGGAACAGTGTGAAGAAATAGTGGTAAAAAAAACATTTAGACGTTGGCGCAGGGACATGTTGCGCACAGGCCTATCCTTGCACAGATTCAGGCCAACAAACGCACGAACATGCGCCACGTGCTGCGTAGTTGTGCGAACGAGGTCAAACCAGTTCCTACGGCTAGAAAATATGATATAGTAGGGAACTGTGTTACGAAATAGTGCTAAAAAAGGCATCCATACGTTGGCGAGCTGACATGTTGCGCAGGCGCCTATCCTTGCACAGATTCAGGCCAGCAAACGCACAAACATGCGCCACGTGCTGCGTAGTTGTGCGAACGAGGTCAAACCAATTCCTATGGCAACGTAATTGTTTGAACTACCTGAATGGGTGAAGAATTGGTAGTAAAAATAACAATCAGACGATGAAACGGCGACATGTTGTGTACTGGTCTATCCTTGCACAGTTTCGGTCCATCAAACGCACAAAGCGCCACGTGTAGCGTAGTTGTGCGAATGAGGTCAAGCCAGTTTCTATGGCAAGGTAATTGTTTGAACTGCCTGAATGGGTGAAGAAATGACACTAAAAATAACAACGATACGAAATTGTAAAACAATAAACAAAACATAGCGGGGTGGAGAAGTAACATGCATGTGACTTATAATTTGGGCCACTGTGGTGGATATAAGGGGTAATGTGAGAGTCAGAGGGGTTTAGTCTTGAAAGTTTCACATACATTTATATATGTCATGTACAAAACAAATTGTACACACAACGATTCCAAAATTTAAAATGTTTGCAACTCATATAGCGAAACAAAACTACAAGCTCTGGTGAATCAATCGCATCAGATGACGTGGCAGGCGAGGATCGCCAGCGCTTGACAACCGACAGTTCAATCGCAGGCTGGCGTAATCGACAGAAATCCGCAGTTCTCTACCCCGATCGAGTCTCCCAGTCACGCATCGTGACGTTTAGGCCAGTAAACTCCCATGATTTTCCAGCCTCAAACCTGCCGATTTCTCCAGAAAGTCAAGAGCGCAGATAGTCACGGTAAACAGCCACAACAGACAAAAAACGCCAGTCCACCCCCGCATCTGAACTCGCAACCATTCCCTTACGGTAAACGGCCGATTACAGGGCACTAGACAACCCCAAAAAAAACCTAAGTACTAGCCCCCCAGTTTACGGCGGATCGACAATTTTCTGATGTATATGTGAGTTTACTGCTGCAATTGCTTCTCCCTCTTGGGCTCTTCAGATTGTTCTAGGCTTGTTCAGGAGTTTGTATTGTCTGTTTGGGTTTGCATTGCGTGTTCAGGTCTATGGACAGCTTGCTTGGGCTCGTGTTCCTTGTTTGTACTCTCAGATTTGTTATTCAGCTTATTTTTCTGTTTCACTTTGCTCAGTTCTGTTGCTTGGCCGGGTCATTTGTTCAGATTTTGACGTAGTTCCTTTTGGTTTTCAGAGAGCTTGTTTGTTTCTTCAGATTGTTTGTCCGGGTTTTCGTACTGGTTGTTCTGGTTTTTTTATTGCTTGTTCAAAATATTCAAATTGTTGACTGTCGACTGTTGACTTGGGGGGGCTTCTAGCCTGTTTTTAGTTTGTTTGCTTGCTTGCTTGTTTGTTTGTTTGTTTGTGTGTGTGTGTGTGTGTGTGTGTGTGTGTGTGTGTGTGTGTGTGTGTGTGTGTGTGTATGTGTGTGTTTGTGCGTGTGTGCGCGCGCGCGTGCGCGAGCGCGCGTGCGTGCGCGCGTGCGTGCGTGCGCGTGCGTGCGTGCGTGCGTGCGTGCGTGCGTGCGTGCGTGCGTGCGTGCGTGCGTGTGCGTGCGTGCGTGCGTGCGTGTGTGTGTGTGTGTGCGTATATGTGTGCGTGTGTGCGTGTGGAATACTGTGGAAAGGTTTTCAAGTTTAGTTTTCATCTGTTCATAGCCTTGTTTTCCCTCTCTGATAATTCTGGGTACCCGACTTTTCCTTTGTTCAGATTGTTATTTTGGGATTGTGTGCTTTCCGGTTCTTCGTATAGTTGTTTATGCCTTAAAGTTGTCCTTTTTGGGTTCTAGATGGCGTTTCTTTCGTGTTTTTTACCTAACATGCCTTTATACCTCTGTCCTTCTTCTGTTGGGAACAGGGGGCGAGCGCCAGGAGGGGACAAGACTGACTGGGTCATGCACGAGTACCGGCTGACAGAAGATGCAGCAGGCGGGGCTGTTTCTGGCCGAAACAGCAGCAGAGACGATGAAGATACCAACCTAGACACCACTGGTCCGGGAGAAGTGGGTGGTGCTGCAGATGGTGGGTTAGCCAGGAGCAGCGACAGCAGCCTGAAAGCTCGCAGCCCAGAGCATCAAACTGGCAAAGCTCGAAAAATTGATGTGGCGTCGTGGGTGGTTGTGCGGGTGGTCAAGCGAAGCTCCCTGACAACTGAGGAGCAAGCGACTGTGACGCATCAGTTGATGGCAGCACAACAAGCAATGGTAGCACAGCAAAGGATGGCAGAGCAGCAAATGGGTGGGCCTCCCCTACAAGGTGCAAATCCGCGGCTCTTAGTTCACCCGCGAGGGAGCGGAGCAGAGCTGCAGGCAGGTGCCACTGGTGGGGATAGAAACGCAGGCTGGGCTAGTGGTGCAGGTGGTGCTAGCGGTTCAGGTGGTGCTGTGAATCCAGGAATGAGGAATATCGAGCAACGACATGAAAGTGGAGTTAGAGGAATGGCAGGAGAGGGGCTTATGGTGGTTCCGGAAGGAAATCACGCAACTGGGACCGGTGTGGGTGTGACCCTGACTGTCAGGAGTAATTCACCCTCGACAGATTCCCAGGGGGATAACTCCCCAAATACCCTCACAGCCAGAGAATCACCCAACTCTTCCTTCTCCGCAATGCCTGTAGACGTACGGAGCAGTGACACAGCAAGCCAAGCAGCAGGTTCGGATACAGGAGCAGCAAAGGGCGGGTTAGTAGCAGCGATGGCGTCTGTAGCAATGGATGTAGCAGGAGGAGGAGCAGCAGTGGGAGCAGCAGTAGGAACTGGTAACCTCTCCACACATCCAACTCCCGCTTTCCCTCTCCTCAGGCTGCCCACCTCGCAAACTAGACTCTCCCATTCTTCCTATATCCAGGCTGGTTCTTTTGAGACGCCTCAAAACACTGCTGGCAGCAGCATCAGGCCAGCAGTGCAGCAAGGGTTACAGACCCCGCAAATCAGCATGCCACTACTGCAGCATCTGTTGTTGCTCCAGCAGCAGCAAAGCAGCAATGCAACAGTGCAGCAAGGGTTATTTCACCAGCAGCAGCAAATAAGCTATTCAGCAATGCAGCAAGGGTTCTTGCCCCAGCAGCACCAACACAACATGCCGGCAGCACAGCAAGAGTTCGAGCAAGTGCTCTTTCACGACCCATCCTTCAGGCAGCTTTTGTTTCAGGCAGAGTCTTCAGAGCCACCTGCCAGCAGAGACGGAGACCCTCTTATTCAGGTCGAAGCAGAGGCAGAGCCTTTTGGGCTATGGGAGGTGATGCAGCAGGGGATGCGCACTGGGGAGGATCAGATGGTAGTTCCAGAAGGACTGACAGTACCAGAAAGAATGACAATACCACCTACACCAGGTGCCACCGTGCTGACACCAGCCAATCCCCTCCTTCCGCTCCCCCCCACCCACACCCACATCCAGCTTCTCTCTCTCCCACTCACGAGAGCAACACCAAACCAGCAAGCTGGTTTCACGGTTACCTCTCAGCAACAGCAAGGCCACAGTGCACCACAGCAGAGAGGTTACCAGCAAGCGATCGCAGCCCCTTTTTCCTCCTGGTCTGCTCCTCCACACCCGTTCCGTCCTACACCTTCTGCTTCCATGTCTGCATCCTCATCTGGTGAATCTCGCCCCCGTGCAACGGCTAGTGTTGCTGCTGCTGCTGGTGCTAGTACTCACCCAGTTGGTGCTGCTGATTCAGCTGAGCCAGGGGACACAGAAGCAGGCCAAACGAACCAACAGGAGGAGATGCAGCAGCTGGCAGATCTTCTCCGATCCATCTTAGGAAATCCAGTAGCCAGTACCATTGCTGCCACTACCGAACCTGCCACTACAACTCGCACCAGTGCAACTCCTGTTGCTTCTTTGACTGAGGCTGCTACGGCTCCTGCCCCTGTCTTTGCTTCAAGTTCTGGTGTGGTTCCCATAGCCTCTGCCATTCAAAGAATGGCTGCAGCTCTCAATATGGCTTCAAGTGGGCTCTTGAACAGCACAGCAGCAGGATCGGTTGCAGCACCCCCAAATTCTGTTGTAGCACCCCAATATCCGGTTGTGGCACCTACTGCAGGAGCCCAGCAGGGGAAAAGACGCAAGGGCACACATAGTGAATGTTGGGTACCCAGAGCAGCAGCAACAGCAGCAGCATGACCAATATTCCCTGCATGAAATACTTCAGCCGCACATGTCTCAGCAGCAGGAACTCAGTCCCGACCCCCCCCGTCCCAGAAGCGCTTCCTGCCCTGCTGTCCCTCTGCAAGGTGCCAATCACCATGTAACGCCCTTTCGTACCACCCACAGCTACAACCATCCCGGGTCATTGCAAGGGGCGGTGGGTGTGCAGGGTGAGCAAGGGAGGACAGAGATGGAAACCCAGAGCGACTCGCTCCTCCATACCAGCGTGTGGGGGAGAGGTGGAACGGAGATGGCTGGAAGGGGAATGAGGGAGAGGGGAGGGGTGGAGAGGACGGGGGGGAAGGTGGCTTGGAAGCGATTATCCGCCATGTCAGCTGGTATGGAGGAGCAGGGGGCTCTGGGATGGAGCAGAGAGAAGCGAACTTGCCAGGAGGGGTGGGAGTTGCAACAACAGGGGTAGCAGAAGCAGGTGCAGGGGTGGTGGCAGCTGCTGTGGGAGCTGCAGCAGCAGCAGCAGCAGCAGCAGCAGCAGCAGCAGCAGGGGTGGAATCAACCAGTGCAGGGGTGGGAGATGCAGCAGCAGAGGCAGCCGCAGCAGCTGGGGCAGCGGCGGCAGCACGAGGAGGAGGGGACCTGATGGCATCGGTGGATGGGTTGGGGATATCAGACCTAGAGGCGCTTCTAATGGATGTGGAGGGAGAATTGGGCACGTTCAGCAGCATGCTCAGTGGGTTCAGCCCGCATCCATTTAGCAGCATGGTTGGCAGCGCTCAGCCCATTTCCAGTGGCATGCCCATCAGTCAGCCACCAGTGCAACTGGAACCATCCATGGGACTGGCAACATCTGTGGAAATGGCACCATCAGTGGCTCTGCCAGCGCAGTCTGAAGGCTCATTTGCATCAGAAGAAGAGGCTGCTGCAGACATGGCCGTATATCACACGAGCAATAACGCTAGCAGTGGTGACGGCATGTGGCCTAGGGGTGAAGGTGCTCTGTCACTGCCAGAGTCATTCTTCCCATCACCTGGAGTACCTCTGACAGCGGGTCAAACATGGACAGATGGAGCAGCAGAATCAGGAGAAGCATCAACAGCAACGGCATCAGTAGGTTCAACCGCCGCCGCAACAGAAGCAGGAGAAGTAGGTGCATCTGCAGGTGCAGAAGCAGCCACTACAAGCATGATTGCCAGTGTTTCAGGGGAAACACAAAGATGGAATCGTGGCAGCCAGGGCACTGGAAGGATGCACTCTCCCAAAAGGAGTCGTGAAGAGGACTGCTGATTCTTTTTAGAGAAAGTTCAAGGGCAGATGCTTTTTCATAGGAGCTGTTAGTGCATAAGCTTTTTCCTGGGAGCTGTTAGTGTATATGTTTTTTCCTGGGAGCTGTTAGTGTACATGCTTCTTCCTGGGAGCTGTTAGTGTATATGTTTTCAAGTGCATATGATGGTGGCATCTGGCTCAGGGTCAATGGATAGCGTCGACATGAAATGATACCGTAGGAGTAATGTCCTTCCTATGCACAGAATGACATTTGGTGTCTCAATATCAATATCTTGTATATGCTATATCTAGTTTTGTGTATGACGTCTAGTTCTTTATCCTTTTCTCATTTTCAAATCTTCTTTATTTTTCCTTTTCTTTTACAATTGCACCTGTGCGTATCTACGGAATGACTGTACGCAAATTTCAGCAATGGAAGGTGATAATACCTACCTTCACATGTCAGCTCTAGTTGTTTCTCCTGGGCTAGAGATGTCACCACCACTCTATGTACACTAACAGCCCCCAGAGAGACAAGAGCTTATGATCAACGTGCTCAAATCAAGAATCAGCAGTCCTCTTCACGCCTCCTTTTGGGGGAAACAATCCTTCCAGTGCCCTCGCTGCTGCGATTCCCCAGTTGTGATTCTCCCACTACATTGGCAAACCTGCCTGCAGTGGCTGCCTCTGCACCGTCTCCTGCTGCTGCTGCTGCTGCTGCTGCTGCTGCTGCTGCTGCTGCTGCTGCAACGGATTTGTCTCCTTCTTCTGCTGCTCCATCTGCCCGTGTCTGACCCACTGCCCCACTTCCTGGACCTGGGAAATATGACCCCGGCAGTATCAGAGCGCCCTGGCCCTTCGACCACATGCCGTCACTGCCACCAGTGTTATTGGCAGTGGGATAAGCAGCCATGACCGCAGCAACCCCCTCCTCTGATGCAAATGAGTCTTCATTCCCAGTATGCACTGGCGGAAACAGGGTAGATCTCGGCGGTATGGAAGGTGCCAGCCCCTCAGGCAGTTGACTGATGACCATGCCAGTTCCAGTGGCATAGAAGGTGCCAACGGGCTGGATGGTGCCGATCATGTTGCTACTGGGATGCTGGCTGATCCAGCTGAACATGCTGCTGAGAAAGCTTAGTTCTCCCTCCCCATTCAGTAAAAGTGCCTCCAACTCTGTTAGCTCATGCAACCCATCTACCGATGCCAGCAGGTCCCCTTCCCCTCCTCTCGCTGCTGCAGCTACCCATGCTGCTGCAACTCCATCCCCTACTGCCATGACACCCGCACCAGTTGATTCTGCACCAGTTGTTTCAACTCTCACAGCAGCTGCGTCCATCCCTGAACCAGCTGCTGCTACCCCTGCTGCCCCCACCCCTCCTGGGATGTTCATTTCTCTGTGCTCTATCCCAGAGCCCTGTGCTCCTCCATACCCGCTGGTGAGACAAATAATCTCCTCCAAGCAACCGACCCCGCCGTCTCCCCTTCCTCTTCCCTCTCCTTCCATCCCAGAGCCCGGTGCTCCTCCATACCCGCTGGTGGGGCGAATCATCTCCTCCAAGCCACCGACCCCCCCATCCCCTCCTCCTTTTCTCTCTCCTTTCATCCCTCCTCCAGCAACATCTGGTTCACCACTCCCCCACACACTGGTATGCAGCAGAGAGTCACTCGGATCTCTCGCGTCTATCCTCCCTTCCTCGCCGCGTCCCACCGACGCCCCTTGCAACGGCTGGGCGTGGGAGGCACGAGAGGGCGTTTCATACTGGTTGATGCCTTGAATTGGATCCTGAAGTGGTAGAGGAAGGGCATGACAGATCCCTTGCTGCTTTTGAGACGCCTCAAAAATATACTCCAACGCCCCATGCAACGACTGGGTGTGGGAGTCATGAGGGGGTGTTCCATACTGGTTGACGCCTTGACTTGGAGCCTGAGGTGGTAGAGGGATGGCAGGACAGAGTACTTGCTGCTTTTGAGACGCCTCAAAAATGGACTCCAATGCCCCATGCAACGACTGGGCATGGGAGGCATGAGAGGGTGTTCCATACTGGTTGACGCCTTGACTTGGAGCCTGAGGTGGTAGAGGGATGGCAGGACAGAGTACTTGCTGCTGAGGCATGTGCTGCTGAGGCATCTGATGCTGGTGGTATTGGTCATGCTGCTGCTGCTGCTGCTGCTGCTGCTGCTGCTGCTGCTGCTGCTGCTGCTGCTGCTGCTGCTGCTGCTGCTGCTGCTGCTGCTGCTGCTGCTGCTGCTGCTGCTGCTGCTGTTGGTTGTGTCCCTGGTCCTGGTACCCAAATGTTACTGTGTGCTGCCCCTTGTGCCGTTTCCCCTGCTGGGCTGCTGTCGGGGCTGGGGCAACCGAGTATGAGGGTGCTGAAACCGCATCCATGGGTGCTACCATGGATCCCCTCAAATATCCAGCTCCAGAGCTGCTAATCCCTCTAGACTCAACTCTGTGAGCAGAAGGCACCCCCAGAATGGCAGAGGGTGCAACGCCTGTTGGGACTACACCAGAACCTGCGCCTTCAAAGGGTTGAAAATAGCCTCGAACTGGAATGGCAGCAGCTGCTGCAGTAGAAGCAGCTGCAACAGCAGCAGCAGGAGGAGTTGTAGGGGCAGGAGCTGTATCGGACCTACTGGAGGCAGCAAAGGGACCAGCAATGGGAAAAGCTGTAGCAGCAGTATGTGCAGTGGTGTCGATCTGATACCCTAGGAAAGCTTTGAAAAGATCAGCCAGTTTCTGCATATCTTTGCAACAGATCGCTTGACCAGCTGCTCTGTAACCTAGCTCAGCTGACCCAGTACCAGCTGGGATAATACTGGCACCAGCAGCAGCAGCAACAGTGGCGGCAGGAGTGGCAGTAGCAGCAGCAACAGTGACGGCAGGAGTGACAGCAGCAGCAGCAAGAGTGACAGCAGGAGTGGCAGCAGCAGCAGCAACAGAGACGGCAGGAGTGGCAGCAGTAGCAGCAGCAACAGAATCAGCAGCAGCGGTAGTATTAGCACCCGCAGCAGCATGAGCAGCAGCAGTGAATGTTGGAAGGATCGATGGATGCTGCATTGTATGGGGCTGAGAGGCACCAGAGGAGGATACAGAGCCGGAAGGAGAAGAGCCAGGAAGGAGCGGGTGCAGAGAAGCAGGCACAGGGAAAGAAGCGCCTGCAATCACCTGCTGGTAACCGCTCTGTTGGCTTGCACAGTGGCCCTGCTGTTGCTGAGGGGTAGCCTTGTAACCAGCTTGGTGAATTGGTGCTTGCATGAGTGGCAGAGGGTTAATCTGGGCGAGAGTGCGGGTGAGGTTGTGGGCGGAGGTTTGGGTGTGGGTGTGGGTGAAGGGGAGGCGAAGAAGGGGACTGGCTGCTTTTGGAGCAGTGGCAGAGGGTGGAGGTGGTACTGTCAGTTGCTCCTGCTGGTTGCAGTAGACTGCTTGTGATGACCCATGCTGCCCTGCTGGGGTGTTGCTTGCTGCTGTTGGAACAACAACCCTTGCTGCACCAAACCTTGCTGCAACAACCCTGGCTGCAACAACCCTTGCTGCATCAACCCTTGCTGCACCAACCCTTGCTGCACCAACCCTTGCTGCTGCTGGAGAAATAGTGGAAGCTGCATTGCTGCGCTGCTGCTTTTCTGCTGCTGAAAAAACACTTCTTGCTGCATTGCTAAGCTTCTGCCTTGCTGCTGGAGAGAAAACCCGTGCTGCACTGCTGGCCTGCTGTTTGGATGCTCCTGGGACAATGAACCAAGCTGCACTGCTGCGCTATTGCGTTCCTGCTGCTTCAGCAATAACTCTCCATGCACTGCCTGAATGCTGCCAGCTCTGGGCTGGAGGAAGGGGGCGTGGGAGAGACCATAGGCCGAGCTGTGCGGATTAAGGAGAGGGGAGGCGGGACCTGGATGTGCACTAAGGTAATCAGCACCCTCTGCTGCTCCTGCTGCTGCTCCCAATGCTGTTTCCTCTGCTGCTCCCAGTTCGGCTCCTGCTCCTGCTACATCCATTACTACATGTGCCATTGCTCCTTCTGGTGCTCCCACTTCTGCTCCTGTTCCTGCTACTTCTGAAACCATTGGGGTTTCTTCCTCCTCCACTGGCTTCTGCGTAAACTCATATTCTGAACTGCTTGCTCTACCTGCGCCCCTACTAGCTCCACCTTCATCACCAGCATCACCTCTGCTCCTCACTCCGCCTTCACCACTGCTCCTAACCCCACCAGCATCACCTGGTTTCTGCTCTGCTCTGCACCCATGCTGTGGCACCAACAGCCACGGATCCACACCCTGGGAATCAGCAACCCCACCCTGATGCTGCGTTATAATTGCTGGCCACGCATCCATCCATCGCTTGTTGTGCTACCATCGCTTGCTGTGTCACCATCCCCTGCTGTGGCACCATTGCTTGCTCCTCCCCTGTCCGGGAGCTTCTCTTGAGCACTCTCACAACCATCCACGACGCCACGTTGATCCTTCGAGCAGTGCCAGTCTGATGCTCTGGACTACTTGCTTTGTGGCTCCTGCTGCTGATGCTCCTGGCTAACCCACCATCAGCAGCACCAGCACCAGCACCACCCGCAGCTAGAGCACCTCCGGTATCTGGGTCAGTCGCTTCATCTTCTCTGCTGCTGTTCCCGCCAGTGGCAGCACCACCCGTATCCACACCAACTGCGATGCTTTCATGTGCAGCAGCTGTGTGTGCAACGAATCCAGGGTTTGAATCACTTGTTGCAGCTGCAGCCCGTGCAACGTCTGTAGCAGCAAATCCTGCTACAGGCGAATCCTCTTCCATCCGGTACTCGTGCATGACCCAGTCAGTCTTGTCTCCTCCTGGCGCTCGCCCCCTGTTGCCACCACACCAAACAAAAAACAAAATCTTAAAAGGCTTATCAAACCAGAGTTGCCACGTTCACCTAAACACAGTCCGAAGACCCTCTCCCTCCTCCCCCTCCCCCACCCCCCCCCCCTCCCCTCCCTCCCTCCCCCTTCCATCTCCTCCCCAACAACCCCACCCACCCACCCGCAAAAAAAAAAAAAAAAAAACAAAAAAACAAACAAACAAACAAACAAACAAACAAACCTATCTATCAAACAAATATTACCAAATAGTGAACACACAAACTATTCACAGGCAATTTTGAAGCCCAAACTATTATTTCGTACCTTGATAATACAATCTGATCCATCAGATTCTGATTATTCAAGCGAACAACCTTAAACCCCGAGCAAACAGTATTTGAACCCAAACAAACAATATGAAAACCCAAACCAAGAAACTGAACGCAACCATTTGAAGACCTGAATGAACAATCTGAAAATACAATAACAGCACACACTGACACACACGCACACGCACATGCACACGCGTGCGTGCACGCGTGCGCACACACACACACGCGTGCGCACGCACACACACACACACACACACACACACACACACACACACACACACACACAAACAAACAAAAACCAAAACAGAAACAAACAAACAAACAAACAAACAAATGCACGACTGAATGAGGTCTCCAGTGACCCGAAGAAACCAGCTGAGGACACAAACAGGCAACAGGAGCCCGAGAAATATCACCACATCCCCAAAGGCACAAATCACTGACATAAACAGGCAATCCAAAAAGATGAACAATAACTTCAGAGGCTCAAACTGTCAAAAGACCCAAACAAGCCTATGCATAAGCAGGAGGGAGAAGAAACCCACATGTAGAAAACATGAGTCTTTTTGAATCCCGCTCTGACTGTCTGCTCCCCTTTGCCTGCATTGCCACAGCTGCTGCCTGCTAGCCTCACATTCACTGGCTTGTCCTTCACAGTGGCCTTCCAGTACCCAGCAGTTGTGGCGCGGTTGGACCGGGACCCTGATGGGTACTTGAGGTCGTGGGCTGCGAAAAAAAACCACTCGCCGTCGCCAGCAATCGGGCATGATGCTTTCACTGGAAGTGGTGTAGTCGGAGAGAAGAGAGAAGAACAAGGGTGAGTGAGGTCTGTTGTATTGAGGAAGAACCAGTAAACATCGGCAACAACCAGCCAAGTTTGCTCTAGTTGAGGATGAGAAGCGGGGCGGTGCTTGGGGTCTCTCGTAGCCAAGGAGAATGGAGTTTACGGGGAGAGCTAAGAAGACAATGGAGAGAGATATATGAGAGGGGATGGGAGAGAGTGAGACAATTTTCTTAGTGTAAGCCTTAGCCCTCTTCCCTACCCTCTTCCCTTGCCCCAGACCTGTATAAGGGTCCTCTGGGACCCATCTCTCTCATATTCATTTTTGTGACAGTTTATCGGCGGATGGGAGAGAGCGAGAGAAGTCCTTTATTGTTAGCCTTAACCCTCTGCTTTGTGTTTTGTCCTTGTCCTAGACCTATCCTCTCTCATTATTCTGTTTGTGTGACAGTTTATAGGCAGCTCGCGCCGGCAGCCGTCGGCCGCCGACGCTCGCAAGCGCGGCCTTCGGCCGCGCGTTTCTAGCAGCAAGCAGACAAAGGGAGAAGCAATAGCAGAAACGAGACATACACCAATGGCACACACTACCAACTAAGCATACGGCCATGGAAAGGGTGTACACACGAAGGGGTGCAGCACCTAGCGCGGTCCGCCCTTCTAACGGCGAGCATTCCTCTCGTGGTCTCCCACAGGTGGCGGACCACTGACACGGTTGCACCGACATTGCAACTGGAGTGCCAGCGCCTGTGACGATCGTCCTCAGATCCAGGGCCGACCCAGCCAGCTGGCTGGCCGCGCCTGCACCCGGCGAGGTCACAACCTGCAGTGGCGCCACGAGGGCGATTATCGCAGACGCCGCCCCATGACAATGCTCGCGGATGCTGACCGGCGATTATTCTCGGCGGGGCCGGCATGGACGCATGTAACGACTGAAGTATCTGCTCAAGGCTCCGCATGCACTCCGCCAACGTCCATAACCGGGTTAGGGTCGCCGTGGGGACTCTCATCGTCGGCAGAAGAGTCGCGGAGGCGCGAGCACGGACGGACGACACGTCGAGGTCACGAGGAGCGCAAAGGGGACAAACTGAAGGAGAGGGTGCTGCTGGTGCTGCTGGGCCAGTCGCCGAGGCGCGAGCACGGATGGACGACACGTCGAGGTCACGAGGAGCGCAAAGGGGACGCGGCGGAACAAACTGAGCCCGCACGCCGGTCCGCCTCCTGCCCCCAGAAATCCGCCTTCCCCAGGCAGCAGCCGATCTGCACGCACTGGGGACCCCTCAGGAGCACCTTGAAGCTGGTTCCCTGATCAGGGCCGACCGACACTTCAAGTATAAGTTATACTTCAGGTTGCTTTCGGCTCCTTGCCTGATCCTTTCCCCCACGCGTTGCGGGGTTTCAGCTCCTGCTTAAACAGGAGTTCTATGATAGAACGTGCTGCGTTTGACAGGTGAGATGAGATGGGAGGGGGTTGGGTTTGTTGTGGGGAACTTTGTGGGCAAGGGGAGGGGATACCTCACATTCAGAATACTGATGCAGGGCAGTACCTGGCAGTTCCCAAGGCTCGGACTTGTATAGATCCACATCACCAATCGCATTCCATGCGATCGGAAGGCCCTTCACGCGCCGCCTGAGGTAGTAACACAGCAGCTCCTCGTCCGTCGGCCGGAATCGAATTCCTGGCGGAAAACTACTATTCTCGAGAATCATGGCGGCACGTGGACTGTCAGCTGTAATCCTACTATTAACAGTGCAGCCTCTCCAAAAAGTCCTGAAATATGCCCTGAAACTATAGAAGACAACAGAGGGGCGGCCCTATCCTATGGAGTCGGACTGGGTTGCAATGATTTGCAACTTGCAAAGCAGGCAAAAATCCTTGCAACTTCCGCGATGAATGACATTCCTCCGAGGAAAAATCCTTGCCTAAGGTGTCCTAAAAGGCTCCTTGAGATCAGTTTCGGCATAGGGTTTGAGCCTTGTCCTGAGAGCCTCTGAGCGGCAGATCCTAGTATAATAAAATTGCTGCACGTGGACTTCCCAACGGTCGCAATGGCACCACAATTGGAAACCACGCCGCCTTTGCCTGACTTGGCTGGTTGGAACGAGGCTGTATGACTACACTAGTAGTGCCACTACCAAAAAGTTGACGTCCCAAAACATTCCCCCCAAATTGGCTTCCCCGCAAGAGACTTTGAGGCCTCCCGAAAATGGCCTAGTTCTGTCTTCGAGCCCAAAAGAGACATTCGGAACAGTGAACACTGTGTCCCGCAGATGTCCCATCCCGAAATTGTCCCAGAAAATCAAGAAATTTGTCCTCAAACT